ATAGTGTGTGTGTGTGTGTGTGTGTGTGTGTGTGTGTGTGTGTGTCGGTTTATAAAAATTTGACAAGGCTCATGTCAATTGTCAAATGTTTTGTCTAGAAATATAATTTCAACAAATATTTCACAGATTCAGAAACGTACATTCACGAATTTCCAGACGATAAAATTGCCTTTTGCAGAAATTCCTACGGCCAGGCGAGAAATTTGTGTTCAAAGTGCCTTTCCCGTCTTTCGCAAGGAAACTCGCAATTCTTGGCTGACGAGATTTACGATGGGCGTAGGAGAGGCAAGCATGGTACTCTTTTGAGCGCTGTTTCCATCGTTTGGGCGCATAAATTTGCGCGCGAATTCGTGGAAAGCACTGCATACACGAACACGCGACGGTCTCGAGAGCTCGTGCAGGCAAATTAAAACTCGGCGAAGTCGTCCTCGCGTAATTGCTGGGGCGCGCCGCGACTTATTTTTGTAGACTCTCTCCTAAGGACGCAGCCGTCGACACGAGGAAAATCGCGAGACCGTGTTTTACACCATCCCTTTAAATTAAAGAAAAAATATTTGAAATATATTTAGTTCATCATTTTTTTCAAATTTTATACGATTCTATAAGTATCATGGTATTAAATTATAATCTTTTTCATTAAAAATTGAATGCAGCTAAAATTAAAATTGTATCAAAAGTTCTGATAAGTATCAGTACTTTTAAATTAAATTAACTTCTATATTATTATCTATTTATATTTGGCTTTCAGTACGACTTTATCACTTGGAGGAATTAGTACCTTTCTGGATTTATCAAGAAATCCATCCTTTGATGAACTTTAATATGCCGTGATAAGCCGTACAACCGATACGCTATTTTATTACCTAAATCTTATTAATTCACAAAGTTACGGTAATAAGTCTCGGTTCTTTGACACTCCAATATTTTCCGCTCGAAGAACAGAAGTTAATGGTGATCCGTATCTCCTTCCGTTCGCGTATATTTCCGTCTGGAATTCGCACGACAACTTCCATGAAATCGTTCGGTCACCCGGCAGTCTTCAAAGAGCTTTGATCGACTCGCGGACGATCATTCGCTCATAAACAGACGTCATCAAGCATCGCAGCCTTCGAAGCGGCGCGTTTCTAACGCGAGAGAAAGAAAAGACCCGCAAGCCCGGCTAATTACGAGAATCCCTCTGGCTACCGTGTGCTGTTGGTGCTGTGGCTGCTGCTTCTGCTACTGATGTTTATCTTCGCGAGCGATGGGAACCCAAGATGGCAGAGCATCTCCCATTTATTCAGCGCAAGAACCGGTACGCTTCTCCGGTAGGACGAGAAAACGACTTGCGGCTGCTGGCCGAGCCTGCCTCGGGATATCTGCATCTTGTTCCACCGTCTTTCTTGGGCTTCGAACCCCAATGCATCCGTAGATTAAAGC